TCCCAAGCTCCAACTTGTATGGAATAAACTTATTCACCTTCCAACACTTTTTTTTTCTTCAAGGCGTTTCTTTCCTTGCTTTCATCCTCGTCGCCAAAATGTAATAACTTGCAGGAGACAAATCCGTTCAATGCAGTTCATTTACTCAAAGCACATCAAGCCAGCAGTACACTTGAGCACAGTCCAGGTGGAACACATGTCTGCTAACAGTTTCTTCTTTGCTACTCTTAAGCACAAAGCCAAAATACATTAGATTGCCCCCTACAGGTTAATCTACAAAAAAACACTCTACAACACTAACACTGACGCCGCCTTCACACTGGCAGTTGAAATCAGCTCCGTAAAACGCAATACATCCCCAACGGACGTCGTACTGCACAGTGAAAAGCGAGGACGCGGGTACAAAAATGGCGGTGAGATTAGAAAGGTTGACTCTGTCAGTTCTGTATGATCTCTCTGATAAGGGATATAGAGATTTTAATATGTGCGACCTATTGGTTTAATGAGGTGATTAACAAAACGGCAGAAAAGAGACGAGTAATGCTAGAAAGAAAGCTCGTAATGTTAGATCTAAAAGTAGACAACGAAGCTATAGCGGACATTGACCGTGAGATGAATGGACGAACACGCACCATCAGCAGAAAGAACAAGATTGGTAAGAAATGAATCCACCAAAATTATCAAGAGTTGTGAATAACGTTATTATCGATAACATCAACTTATTTTTTGTAACTTTGGTGTGTTTTAGATACGGGAGTACTATCGAATGCGTTGTGTTTCGTGATCGGTTTGGATGCACACTTGAACAACAGAATGGTGGGACAGCGTGGTTCCAGCTTTGACCAACACACTGGATAAAGAATTTCCGGATGTCCAAGGATACTTTTCTGTACCTCTGTCCTTGATTGCAACCCCAACTGGAGAGACATGACACAAAATACCGACATTGTGAACCCATTCAAAAAAGAGTCGGCATTGCACTGTGGAAACTTGCGACTAACTCTGAAGCATCTCGCATTTATTTGGAGTCGGAGTTGCTACTGTGAGTCACTGTGTTCATGATTTCTGTTGAGAAGGGAGTCATGCAAGAAGTTATCCAGTTACCAAACAGCCAAAAGTTAAAAGAGATGGTGGTGTATTTTGAGTCCAGATGGGGTTTGCCTCAGTGTGTAGGTGCAATTGATGGATCACACATCCCCATTCTTGGACCAGAGGAGTAGCACACAGAGCACTTCAACTGAAAGGGCTGGCATTCGATCATTCTTCAGGCTGTTGTGGATGGAGGTCTCTTTTGGATTGTTTTTTAGGAGCCTGCATGATGCCAGAGTGCTGCGTTTGTCAGGATTGTGGGACCTTTGTTACTATCTGATGTAACATTTGTGGACATGATGTGGGGTACTATGTGATGCAGGATATCCTTTGAAGAGATGGCTGATGAAACCTTTCACAGAGAGTGAACGACTGACACCCCAGAAACTTGTGTACAACCATAAAACAAGCAGAGCCAGGTGTTAGTTGAGAATGTTTTTGGTAGACTAAAGGGCAGATGGAGGTGTTTGCGAAAATGAAATGACTGCAATGCAAACAAGGTTAAATCCCTGGTGAGTTCCCCGCATGTCGTGTTCTGCATTTCCTCTGTGAAATGAATGGTGATGAGTTCAGAGAAGAATGGGCTAAACTGCAGTGTCAATGGCTACATACCAGAAAGTTTTGTTTTAATAAAAAATAAGTCAAGTCAAGTCAGCTTTATTTATATAGCGCTTCTTACACTACAGGTTGTATCAAAGCAGCTTCACAGTGATAATGTCACGGTACTAAAATTCCAGTAGTTGGTACCATACCATTAAAATGTTACGGTTCTCGGTACCAATTTTTTTGTACCACAGCAAAATCAGTTTGAAGTATTTTTCCAATGTATTTAAACGTACAGTATGCGATTTTTGGCCACCAGGGGTCACTCGTTTAAAATAATAACAAAAGACGTACTTTGATGACGTCGGGAAAGAGCGTGGGCTCACGGGAGTTGTTGTCGCTGTCAATGACAACCAGCTCAGCTCATGACATGACATCATCGTTTCACAAAATATATACGGATATACGGCATCTCTCTATAGATTTAGCTTGTCATGAAGCTTTAAATGCAACCCCAATGTTTACCTGTGTCATGCTTCTCCTGTCCCAAACCCTTCTCGGGTCATATTTTTCACCTGTGTCTGTTAAGAGTGAGCGCTCGTGAGCGGGCACGTGATTTACACACATAAAAATACGTACTACTTTTTTTTCTTCGTCATTTTCTTTGCTTTATTGGCGGTAGTCCGGTGTTCCCCTTTGTGTTTGGCAGTTTCGCCGGGTTCAGCAAGGAAGTTAGAGAAAATAGAGGAGTCAAAGGTTATATGACGGCATAGACGGGCGACGAAACGGAAATAAAGAAACGTCCCGTGTCTTCGAATTAAACTATAAGTTTCTCCGTATTTGAAAGTTGGTGGAAACTGTCGGGATAATGTAAGTACACATCTAATAGAAATATATAACATAGATACAATTATTTGTGCTATTTTTAATGCAGAAAAAATACATATTGTGGCTTTAACTATTTGAATATATATATATATATATATATATACAGTATATTAGGGGTGTAACGAGACACGTATTCGTATTGAACCGTTCGGTATGAGGCTTTCGGTTCACATTTTTGAGCCGAACGGTTCGTTAGACCATTTTTCTTGCCGACCAACATTTCGTTATTTCAAATGTTGGCGCGTTGCGTGTGGCAAGCACACTCATAATGTAAGAGACGCCGGCGTAACCACAAATCCAACATCAAATGGCAAATGTAATGTAAGCGGAACGAAAGTGAGCTACTCGTTATTGTGTGGTTCTGTGGATGACGGACCGTTGATCAGTTTGCACCAATGCAGCGCGAGCCGATCTGAATCAAGCAGCACAGTTATAGTTATTGCACAAATCCATTAAAGAAAACATTTGAATTCGCCACTGAAGTAATAACATTGTTGCGAGATCTAGAACGGTTTGGAGACGAGATGTTGAGGATCAGTGCCGATGGCTGTCGTGTCGATGAGGATGAGTCGGGATGGGTCCTGATATTAGCATAGACGCCATCCTTCTTTTGATGTACCAAGTACATCAGGATTTACAGGACGTGTTCCTGGTTCCGGCTGATCTAAACTATGCAGCCTAATTTGAATTAAGGAAGTCTATAGTGTGTTATGTGTATGCTAGGCTAAAGAGATGTGTTTTAGTCTAGATTTGAACTGTGTCTGCTTCCCGGACAATGTTAGGAAGATTGTTCAAGAGTTTTGGTGCTAAATAGGAAAAGGATCTCCCGCCAGCAGTCGATTTAGATATTCTAGGTATTATCAACTGGCCGGAGTTTTGAGATCGCAATAGACGTGAAGGACTATAATGCGTTAAGAGCTCGCTCAAGAACTGTGGAGCTAAACCATTCAGTGCTTTATAAGTAATCAGCAATATTTTAAAATGTATAGTGTTTAATAGGCAGCCAATGCAGGGTTGACAGAACCGGGCTAATATGGTCATACTTCCTGGTTCTGGTAAGGACTCGAGCGGCTGTGTTTTGGACTAGCTGGAGTTTGTTTATTAAGCGTGCAGGGCAACCACCCAGTAGAGCATTACAATAATCTAGCCTTGATATCATAAACGCATGAACTAATTGTGGACGCATGAACTAAACGCATGAACTCATGAACTAAATGAAAATGCGGTTCAACAGATACTAGACACGTGACTTTCAAATGAGAGATTATCAAAGAGCACACCCAGGATCCTTACCGACGACGAAGACTCAACAGATCAGCCATCGAGTGTTAGACAGTATTCAGGGCTGTTACGAGTGGAAGTTTTTGGTCCAATAATTAGGATCTCTGATTTTTCAGAATTTAGTTGTAGGAAATTACTAGTCATCCAATTTTTTTTATATCAGCTATCCATTACGTCAGGTCTTCATCTGCTGATGGATGTCAATGATGATGATGATGATGATGATGATGATGAAGATGTTCAGGTCTTCAGCTGCTGATGGATGTCAGTGATGATGATGATGAAGATGATGAAGATGTTCAGGTCTTCAGCTGCTGATGGATGTTAGTGATGATGATGATGAAGATGATGAAGATGTTCAGGTCTTCAGCTGCTGATGGATGTCAATGATGATGATGATGATGATGAAGATGTTCAGGTCTTCAGCTGCTGATGGATGTCAGTGATGATGATGATGATGATGATGAAGATGTTCAGGTCTTCAGCTGCTGATGGATGTTAGTGATGATGATGATGATGATGATGAAGATGTTCAGGTCTTCAGCTGCTGATGGATGTTAGTGATAATGATGATGAAGATGATGAAGATGTTCAGGTCTTCAGCTGCTGATGGATGTTAGTGATGATGATGATGAAGATGATGAAGATGTTCAGGTCTTCAGCTGCTGATGGATGTCAATGATGATGATGATGAAGATGATGAAGATGTTCAGGTCTTCAGCTGCTGATGGATGTTAGTGATAATGATGGTGATGATGATGATGATGAAGATGATGATGATGAAGATGTTCAGGTCTTCAGCTGCTGATTGATGTTAGTGATAATGATGGTGATGATGATGATGATGAAGATGTTCAGGTCTTCAGCTGCTGATGGATGTCAGTGATAATGATGGTGATGATGATGATGATGAAGATGATGAAGATGTTCAGGTCTTCAGCTGCTGATGGATGTCAGTGATGATGATGAAGATGTTCAGGTCTTCAGCTGCTGATTGATGTTAGTGATAATGATGGTGATGATGATGATGATGAAGATGTTCAGGTCTTCAGCTGCTGATGGATGTCAGTGATGATGATGAAGATGTTCAGGTCTTCAGCTGCTGATGGATGTTAGTGATAATGATGGTGATGATGATGATGATGAAGATGTTCAGGTCTTCAGCTGCTGATGGATGTCAGAGATGAAGATGATGATGATGATGAAGATGTCATTGATGATGATGTTGTCTGTTCTTGAGAACATGATGAAGTGTTTGATGAGAATCTCTCCTCAGTTTCCTCACTCTTTACAGGCCCGTCTGGATCACAGGACACTAGAAATCACAAATATATTGAGTTTATGGGATATTGTTCTCCATCACAACAATCACAAGCTTCAATATTCTAGTGCAGAAAGTCTGAAGAATCAGTTTGAAGATCATCACTTAACATTTTGGGGTTTACATTTACATTTATTCATTTAGCTGATGCTTTTATCCAAAGCGTCTTACAATTGCTATATATGTCAGAGGTCGCACGCCTCTGGAGCAACTAGGGGTCAAGTGTCTTGCTCAGGGACACATTGGTGTCTCACAGTGGATTTGAACCCGGGTCTCTCACACCAAAGGCATGTGTCTTATCCACTGCGCCATCACCACCCCTAAATGTTAAAAATAACCCCATGGATAAAAGCAACCCAACTATGGGTTGGTGTAGCACTCTCCTAACTGTGGGTGATTTGTAAATCTAACAACAAAACTAAAATTTAATGAAGGGTTGAAGTTCAATAATGATCAAACACTCACAGTCTGGCTTTCTTGGCTGGAAACTGTTTGATCTGACAAGTGTCGGTCGTCTTTCCTCTCGTGATTCACTGGTTTGTGTGTCATTTCTGTCCTCCATGTTTCTCTCAGTCTTCTTGTTTTCTGCTGATTTTCTTTCTCCTCTTCTTTTGAATCTGTTCAATCACACAGACAGAGCTCAGTGTTATTACAACATCTTAGATTAGCAATATTCAGAATAATCAATGATTATGATAAATGTCAAATATATAAATGTGATTTTATCAGGAGTCCTGATTGGATACAAAACTGGTTATTATAATATAAATAGAGTGGCTGAACTGATGCTACAGATTCAATCAATATTGTTTTAAAATGTTATATTTGTCAGTTATTAAAGCCCATCACGTACACACTGCAGATAAACTCAGTTTTTAATTCAATTGTTAGTGCTTAATCCTGTTCTGTACTCAGTTCAGTGACAATATCATCTACAAAAACTCTGCATTATGTACGAACAACTCAACAAATTGTTATAACGGACAACAAGAGATATTCAGTACGTATTTTAAAGCGCATTAGAGATTTGTCTCATTATGTGTGATTTCGAGCGTACGAGCCTTGAAGTCAGTGTCACATGAAGTCAATTGAGAAAAACTGTAATATAGGCCTAATAAGTGATTATAATATGGTATAATATATGAATTCCAGGGGTCATTACCCCCCCCACTGTTCCTTATTTCAAAATCAGAAAGTTGGCAACCTTAGGTTGAAAACACTGAGCGCGTCTGAGCTGGTTCAGCGCCAGCCAACGCGCGAAAAAACTTTTGAATTTAGCAGTTGATCACGTGACGCACTGACTGTTCTAATCACACCGCTGTGAAAGTACGTGCGAACGGGTTAACAACTAATATGCCTTAATTGTAAGTAGATTTGTGCTCCGATGTCCCTACAGAACTCACCACTGTCAATTGTACGAGTCTTTGAACTGGCTGGCACCCAAGTCAATTAAGGAGGCAATTTCATTGGTCATTACTTATTTTTAAATGTATTCATTTTAATTTCCCTTCATACTTGAAATATTACCTAATTCCTTTCAACACTCAATACAATTTAAGGCATACAGTACAGTTATTTTTTCATATACCTAAATCCATAAAGGAGTTGGTCGTCGAGCGTTTAAGTTTAAAACTCCATCAGATTGGAATAATCTTCCCTGCTCGCTCAGATCTATATCTTCTTTTTATGTTTTTAAATCATCACTTTTTACTTATCTTCAAACAACATGTTCTTGTTTTTGATTCATTTTTATTTATTTATTTTATTTTTATATTATTATTTTTATTATTATTATTTATTTATTTATTTATTTTGTTTTTTTGTTTTTTTTTAAACCTGTATGGGTTTATGGATGTTTGTAAGCAATCATTATTTTGATTGTGTATTTTTTATTTTTTTCGCAGATGGTTTTTTGACTTGTTTTTGATGATGGTAGGGGACTAAGGGTGAAAGGGAGTATTATGGGAGCATTGTTTGAAAGTGTGTGTGTATGAATGAGAATGTCAATGTATCTAAATGTTTGTAATAGTCCTGTGTTGTATTAACTTTATTTATGAATTTCTATTATGATCTTGTTTGTTGTAAAGAAGGGACCCCCTCGAAATTGAGATTGTTCATCTCAAGGGGCTATCCAAATAAATAAATAAAAATAACTAAATAAATGTCTTCATGTACAACATTCAAGCTGAAAAGGGTTTGGCTTGTGAGGAGTTTATTCATCTCAGACACACTCATCTCTGCAGACGAAGAGAAAAACCGTCAAGCACAACCTCCTCTCACTCTTATTCTTATATTGTTTCCTTTTTGTTGTTGGTATTAACATTATGAGTCAGGTTTTGGCTCTGTGAACTGACTTGTATCAGTTATTTCAGTATGAACAAGAACAGCTTTGAGTCATTAAGTGATGACAACTGTAACTTGTGACCGACTTTTGCCCATCTGCGTTCTGAAGCGCATCACAGTGTGAAATGTGTTGTAGTGAGTGAGAATGTGTTGAGAGTTTTGCAGAAAGAGCATGAGATTATAGCAAACAGTGCACAGCAAAATCCCCAGTGTCAAATTAACACTGAGAGTGTGAATTATATAAACTCTGAGCAGTGTTAAATGAACACTGAAGCAGTGTTAAAGTTAATGAGATAATTAAGTGAATAATTGAGTGATGATTGAGCATCATTGAAGACACCTGATGTAAACAAGCAGAATCACTGAAGGAGAAAAACTGAAATTTTATGTCACCAATATGGAGATCAGTGTTTGCTTTAGTTGGTCTCTTGACCCTTATTTCTTTAACTTTAGATTTTGATGGGTATAAACCGCCCGAAAGAGTGCAAAAAAGGATGAAGAAAGGTGACAGTGGTGCACAAAAAAGGAAAAACAGACTCGAAAGACAGAAAAGGGATGCAAAAAACCCAGAGTCCCGCATTCTCAGACCCCTCGTTTTTCGAGACAGCGCCTCCTGCTGTTCAAAAGATCGTATGACACCCACAAACAATGTCCCGCGTTTTCCCAGACCCCTCGTTTTTCGAGACCCTTATCCAAATGCAATTGAAAACAATAGGATGCAATATTACGGTCTCGTTTTATTTAGTTATCCAAATAAATATTTGCGTTCCCTGCTTAATGCACGTTGTGTCAAAAAAAAAAAACTCATTGTGTTACTGATGGAAGGGATACAATTACAGATTGAACTATCTTCAGAAAAATAGTATGTGATATTAGATTTGCTACAATGTATTTCTTTTTTTTTTTCAAATTCCAGTTTTTCTTTCAGTTCAACCTATAATGGTCTAATTAACCCTCAGGTGCTCTTCGTTTCAGAGTCACACTTGTTATCTTCCCGGTCAAAAGTGACCGGACACCTAAAATGAAACTTTCTCCATCCCAGTAAAACCAATGCAATTTATTTTTGTTCTATAATATTTATTCTTTTTAATTTAGTATTTTGAGACAATTCAATTGAATTTATTAATATTTATGAAATATTTATGGTTTATTTTTGCCATGGAAAAATTTATATTTTTTATATATATATATTTTTTTTAAAAAAAATATTAATGCAGTATTTTAGTTTAATATAGTCTAGGCCTTCAGAAAAAAAAAATTTGAAGAAAATTAGCACCATCTGGTTACAGTATAGAGAAAAAGTTAGAATCATGGTGTAACCACTAGATGGCATGTACAGCTCTCTATGGAGAGGCATGTGAATTCCCCATCTGTTTATGAACACATTTATTTTGTTGTTGTTGGAAAATGTCAAAAACTATTTCTTATTAAAAAAATGACAAACAAATATTCACAATTTTTTTTCTTTTTTTTTCTTTTTTTTACAATTTCCCATTCATGGGGTCATTTTTGACCAAAGACCACAAGTGTGACTATTTTTTTAAGACCACTTAGCATGCTCAGATCATGACCTCAATTTTTTTTGTGTTCACATTCCCAATGCCATAAAAGTCACCAAGTTTCGTAACATTCAGATGAAGCTGTGATATTTAACATTTCAAATGACCGAAGAGCACCTGAGGGTTAATGATCACCTAAACATCATCTTGCTGTAAAGGAAAAAGGAAGAAAGAATTGTGTTCATGACTTTATATTTATCTTCAGTTGCATTAAAAAAAACTCATTTATAAGTCGCTTTGATAATCATAAAATGATATGTTTTGTGATACGGCAAATGATACGGCAGGGGCAACACAAAACATGATGAAATTAGGGCTTTCAAAACGATTAATCGCATCCAAAATAAAAGTTTGTGTTTACATAATATATGTGGGGGAACTGTGTATAATTATTTTAGATATATAAACACACACACAGGCATGTATATATTTAAGAAATATTTTCATGTATATATTCTGTATATAGATTTATATACAATTTATATTATATATAAACATAAATATTTTATATATAAATAATATTTTTTTTCTTAAATATACATGTATGTGTGTTTTTATATACAAAATAATTATACACAGTGCCCCCACATATATTATGTAAACACAAACTTTTATTTTGGATGCGATTAATCGTTTTGACAGCCCTAGATGAAATTGAAATTGATCTGTGTATATACAGTATGTGTATATAATGACTGATATCACTCCATCTGTTTTCACTCTTTCTTGTTTGTAACATTTTAACACAGTTTAATCATCATTTGTCCATATATTCCTTTCATAGTTTAAATGTGATGTAGAAATTTCGTGTTTCTTCCTGATTTACATCAAATTTAAAATATGAAAGGAATATATGGACAAATGATGAATAAACTGTGTTACAATGTTACAAACATTCAATAAATTGCAAGTGGCAGCAATATATTACATTTTTTCTGATAAAATAGCAAATAATCCAGTCATGGATATAAAATAAATCTCCTCATTAAAGATGAGAAATGAATATGTTTAGAAACATGTTTCTGACCTGTGAGAAGAAGAGATGTAGAATAATCCAGAGTTTCTTAAATCCCGTCGTCAGCAGATAATTCATCCGTTCTCAACTCTACACAGCCTCTTATACTGAGCAAGAGTGCGAGAAACGAACAGACAGGAAGTAAAGTTTTGATGCTGTGAGCTAAATAGCTTTCATTTCTGTGCATGTTTTATGTTTTAAAACCAGCGCTCAATATAGAGGGATGCATGCAACATGTATTATTACGCTTTTTTTGCACAATATCTGATCTCACATTTCTTTGTGTGTGTGTGTGTGTGATGAGGAAGTTGCTCAGCTCAATGTAATATCACTTCCTAACGCTTCTTAAAACATATATTTAAACTCTACTTTGTGTTGTGTGTTGTGTTCAGACAGTAATGTTGCAGCCCGATCTCATGAAAGTATCTCATGAAAGCTATACCACAAATTTGGTTTATAGTGCGTGCGTAGCATGCATAGATTTTTATATGAAAAAAAAACATTTTGGTGAAAAAAAAATTGCACGAGAAAAATTTGTGTTATATACCCAAATAAGCACTTTCTCAAGATGTTGGATTGTAATGGGATCCACTGAGGCAAGTTGTAGAGAGAACAGTTTATTACAAACAAAAGCAAAAGCAAAAGCTAGACATAGACCATAGAGACACATGAGTTAACAAAACTTAACAAAGACACATGGCAAACATGAGGGCTTAAATCCAGACTAATGACAAGACAAGGGACACATGTGAACAGACGAATAACCAATGACAAAACACATGAGGATTACATGACAAACATGAGATAACAAACCCAAACTTGACATGGACGTTCCTCTTTAGCCTTTCATAATGTGAGGCGCTGGATAGGGATTATTTTTCACAAGTTGCGTTCTCAGACTTTCTCCTTCCCACCTTCAACAACCTGTTTGCTCTCTGAACTGGCTCATATTGGTTGTCACATCATTTGAAACAGGTTGAATCAGTTTTGACTGTTGTGTTCAATCAATTGACATTTGTTCTCTATTTGTATTTGATTGTTGCCACTAGTGTTTACCAGTATGGATGACATGTGCATTGGAGTGCAGAATGTGTTCATAGTTTTGCTGAAAAGTCTAAAGTGAGATCTGCAAATTGTGTTGTACCATGTGAAGTTGTTTATGCTATTGACAACAGACTTCACAATTAGCTAAATGAGTTCGGGCAACTGAGAACTTTGTTCAGCCAATGGATTTTAGTGTTTTAGCAATTGAGAAAAACTGTAATTGAAGGGCTTTTAACCCATAATGGACTCAATCTTCAACTTTTCCAATTTACATAAACATCTGCTGTTAAACATACATTATCCAGACAGTCATTCAAATCAACATCATAAATGACAATAAATCAATCATCAGTCAATTAATCACTTTAATGTCACATTAACTTCAACACTTTAACACTTTTGAATGTGTCCTAAATAATCTAATTTAACACCGGAGTTTTTGAGTTGTGCTGTATTTTTATATTTCTTTATTTATTTTATTCATATCTGCTAACCACACTGTAAAAAAATCATAATTTCACAGAAAATAACTGATTTTTTGACGATCATTTTCTTCCATTTTAAATTTAAAACACTGTTAAATTACAAATAATATCTGTAAAATAAAAAGGCAGCTGATATTTTAGGTAAAGACAAATTCCAGTCATTCACATTTTTTATACAGAAAATGTATTGTATTTTTCATACAGTATTTTTCTGTTTTCTTAAATTACATAAAAATGTATGTAAAATTACAAATATAATCTGTGATTAAATGGAAACAAAACAGTTAAATTATTACATGACTGGCAGCCCAAAGTAAAAACGTAAAACAAAATAAACTGAAAAACACTGTTATTTACGGGTATTTCCTGGATTATTATGATCAAATACCTTCATTTCAAAATTAATTAAAAAATGGTCAAATGACTGGCAGCAAAGGCTGCCAAACAAAAAATATAAAATTAAAGAAAAATATTCCAATTTAAATGAACTGAATAAACACTGTTATTTCACATGTATTTCCTGCATTATTATGATAAAAGTGTCAAATGACTGGCAGCAAAGGCTGTGAAACAAAAACCATAAAATTAAAGTAAAGTGTTCTATTTTAAATTAACCAAAAAAAACCTGTAATTTCACAGTTATTTCCTGCATTATCATGATCAAATACCTTCATTTAAAAAAAAATCGTAAAAAAGGTTCGTAAAGTATCGTAAAGTAAAATATGTCAATTTAAATAAAATGCAAAAAACTTTAACATAAACTTTAACATAAAAAATTGCTTGTGTATTCAACATACATGTGTTATAGCATTGAAAGCAGGAGAAAATATCAGCTGATGTTGGTCATTTATTGGTGATGTTGGTGACCTGATATACTACAGTAACATACCTGAGTGTATCTGTTGAGATTACATTATAAATAGCCACGCTAAAGTTTTAAATATGATTGTTGTACTTTTCCCCGTGAACCTTGAAATATTGAAACAATATCCGAAATTCAAATCTGAAATGTAAGAAAACTATCTTTTATAAAGAAAATGTTTGAGCTGTTTTATTTTTTTTAGGAGTATGACAGAATTGATCAACATATGAATCTCAATAATGGTGACAATCAACAAAGCCTTTATGTGACTTTATAGTAGTTCAGAGTGGGTCATATATTTACTCAGTTGTTTGTGTGTGTTTGAAGTTTTATGTCATCAGCTCAAAGTCATAACTGATCAACAGTAAATATTGATTAGAATCTTCAGTTTTGAGATGCAGATAAAGCAACATGTCGAGTCGATAATGTGATTTGATTTGCAGAAAAAAAGAAAGAGTTGAGAAATATTGTGTTTAGATCATGACAAGAAAACCATGTTTCATTGGAGAGTTTTTATTTTCATTTTAGATTGAAATGTGCAGATATTATGAAGAGAGATGCTTACATTTCCATATCTTTCATAGCTTTTTAAATAAGAAACATGTGTTTGTAATCTGCTTGTACTGTATAACTGTGGATATCTGGAGCTCAGGGAAAGCATATATCCATCAGGACTGCATTCACACACCGGTTAATAACAGCAGTATTAACTCAATTCACTCAAATCTGTGAAACATCAGAGAAATCTCAGTGCTGAGATTATACAGTGAATTTAGTTATCACATCGTCCATTCAGTGTGCCGTCTATGTTGTTTCAACACAAATTTGGGTCGAATAAGAACAAACCCAGCTGTTGGGATAAATTATTAAATTAAAATGTTTAACCCATCGGTTGGGTTAGTCCATATTTGACCCAACTTTGGGTTGAAACAGCCCTACACTGTACATCTGTTTCCGGAGACATCAGACGAAGAAGTCTCTGGCCCTAAAATAAACTCTTTAAAATCATTCAGTTTTTCTTTTAAAACGTTCACAAATTCTAAGTTTGTTTAAATCACAAGCTTGTCCAAGGAAATGTAATTTCTAGAATGTCCTTTACTTGATTTTTATAATAATCGTGAGCAATACGAGGATAAAAATTCTCATTTTTTTCAGCGCAAGGCAACACTGTGTATGTGTAATGGTGCGCTCCGATAAAATAGTTGGTAATTGTGGCATTTATAATATATGTATATATATATATACATATATATACATATGAAGTGCCATTTGAAATTTTCTTCTAAAATGATCATTTTTATCAAGCTTGTATATTTAAGTTCATTAATTTCACTTAAATGGCAATGAAGATTACCTATTAATTGTCATTTAAGTGAAATTACTGAACTTAAATATACAAGCTTGATAAAAATTACCATTCTAGAAGAAAATTTCAAATGGCATTTAGAGGCTTTTGCATCTGAACTCTTCGTATATACATATATTATTACTTTTTTAAATAGCTCGCAGCCACATATGGAAAAAAAAACTATGAACAATTTTTTGGAATTCAAAATTGTGAAGTATGAACTGTGAACTGAACTAGTTTTAAAACAGTCTCTCAGTGTCACGGTTGTGTAGAGTGGAGTGAGGACTCAAATGCAGAGTAGATTTGAAGCTTTTAATTAAGTGAAACAAACCAAACAAACCAAACAAAAGAAATCCAGGTCTCAAAACTAAATCCAAAGACATGACGTGGCAGGCACAGAATTAACATAACCATACCATTAACAACGAACGAGCACAGGACAGCAAACACAGGAAGGCTAAATAGGCAGGCAACAATGAGGTAAACGAGGATAACAGATAACATGGGACAATTAAACCAATGAACAGATAACAAGGGCAAGAGCACAACATAACAAAACTCATGTGCATAACAAAGACAGGACAGACATGATGTGACACTCAGCATCTCAACCGCAGTCTACACCAATATGTGCTTCAAAACAATCACACAGGAAACAGATGTTCACGTGTTTATATTTTGGCAGTTTCTGTTTCTCTTTTTTGCACCTGAACTCGATGCTGTTCATCTTTAATATTTTCCTGTGGTTGAACGTTCAGGAAGAGATCATAAATCTGTGGCTGTAGAAACTGTAAATCACGTCCACAGTTTCTAGACCTGTCTCTACATTAAACCAGTTATTTGTTCAAGCTAAAAGCAGACTCTGCGTGTTTTAGAGTGAACTCTTGGTATTTCTATAGGCTAATCTTAGGGTTATATAACATTTCAAGGAAGTAAACAACAACAGACGCTTTGCAGTGATGGGCTACTGCGCAGCGCATTTCCGAACTTTATCACACAGCTGTCAAAACAAAATTACGAGGATATGCTTTTTAAGTCTAGTTAAAACAGTGACGCTATTTAAAAAGGTTAAGTGTGTGTTTCCAGACGTTTGATCACTCATTTGTTCCTAAAATGACGACGATGTTTGTCTTGTATTTGTGAAGTTGGAGAGAGTCAGATGTTGACAGGATTCATGCGTCATAACTGGGTGAGTACGCTATATCTATGAATCATAAATCCCATTGCTAATCCTGTAGTCAAGTCAGCTTTATTTATACAGCGCTTTTTACAATACAGAATGTTTCAAAGCAGCTTTATAGAGAAAACAGCAAAATAATGTTGTATTAATATTGTTAAATATAAAATTAAATGTCCCCAACTAAGCAAAAAAGCCGGTAACACTTTATTTTACGACCCGCAAACAACTGTGTAAGTACGCTGAAATTACGGTGTACATTTCTGTAAT